GACTCTTCTTAGTTCCTATCAAGTAGTGGGTACTGAATACTTCCTTTACTGCTTTTTCAAAATATTTCTATATGAAACGAAATTTTTTTTGTACTAAGCCTTTTTGGGTTCCCTGTACTCGTTGACAATTTCTTTCAATCGCGCTAAGCCTTTTTTTTTTCGTCGAGAGCAAAAATCAAGGCGTCGGCCCCATGCTTTCGAGCAATTCAGTAGTGCATTTCGATCATTAGAGCAGCAATTTGCAGTTACTTCGTTGCGTGTTGCATAAAACAACCAAAGAGCGCCCTCTAACCGCTATTTCCCTTCCTCATGTGCCATTCAGTTATATTTTCCCCTAAAACTCGTCATAGTCTGCTTCATAGTTATGTCTCTCTTCAAATAGACCGCTCAGAAAGTCAACGAGCCGCTCGTTGACGCTGACAGCGGCTGCTGTCAACGCGATACGGATATGACAGGCTCATTTACATTTTGATGACGGATTTCCTTTTTCGCACGACATGAACGACCATAGTGCCGAATTGCTTCAGCAGTTAGCGAAAAGCTGTAGCTAAAGCTATTAAAATGTCAATGGGCGGTTAGCTATGCTTTATGGAGTCGCAGTAGAGAAACTGGCAGAATGGAAAATTTTTTTATGAGTTGGCAGTAAGACTTCGATTGGGGTACCACTGCTAATCATCTAAAAAAAGAATAAAGTTGTTGAATGAAAGAGGATAAAGGAGAAAGTTCTAGAATAGGTTTTATTGAAATTCAACTTTTCAAAGAAGCTGAAAAGAAACTAGAACTTCTGAGCTCAAAATTCTCTTGAATATTCATAATCATATCCTTTTATTTCAAGACTTCATAAAATTTATCACTTTTCTTCCTTTTTCACAACCTAAGAACTTACTCTGCTAATTTCGCCTTTTCGGCATTTTTTTATATGAGTGGTTGGTAAATGTAGATAGGGATTGACTGAATCCTAACCAAGTTTCTTCCCATCATAATCACATACATTGAAAATTAATAATGTAAAAATCCCTTGAAATCAACTTACTGATTCTCCTACGAATCAAATTTTTAGCGGTTACCGAACATGTGACAGTGGATGTCTCTCCACTTGTCCTTTTTTGAGTAGCAACTCTAACTACCCTTTCGGCGAAGAGGTTTGTCCCATGGGAACAGGATTTCGTTTAACTTTGTATGTTTTCCACTAGGTTGGTAGAAAGAATATCAAGTGAAATCTAAGAATAGAGCCTTTAAACTTATCATTGCAGCTATTTGGGTAATGGGATAAACAAATGAAGATATAAATGCAAGGTCTTGAGTTTCTCCATATCTTCTGATTTGCCCTATTTTAGGCCGTACAGGTTTTTTAAGTCCAAATTCAACTAACTTGGATTAGTCTACAAATATGAGGATAAGTGATAGTAAAATAAGTGATAGTAAAGCGGCAGCTTGAATGAAAACGATTAAAGCATAAAATAATAAAGTGATGTATAAAAAGCCACTTTTCGAAAAAATGAAAAATGGCAGTTTTGAACTCAAACTCGTATGGAATCTTGATAGAATAATCCAAATACATAGCATTATTTAGCAGATTATAGCATGCTTAGCACATGCAGTTGCTAGCGATATACCTCCTTTGTTATCACTCCACATCGCAAGAAATAAGATCAAAATGAAATTTCAAATAGAATGCAGAAATTTCTCTCATT